AGCTGCAGCGTACACACACATACACATACACACACGCACACGCACACGCACACACACAGATACACACTGTGCACAGTAACAGGGATGTCACTGCATGTTGTGGTCTTTGACAAGGATTCCAAGACAGTAATGCAGCGTGACTATGAAGTGTGAACATTTATGCAGCTCAGCATCTGAAAAACATTTAAGAATCACAGATTTTGTTTAATTATCTGGTAATAACTCTTGCTACACAGTACGCTGAAGGCTAGCTAGTAAAACATACATGTAAGAAGATGTAGTATTCATTCTACTTGAAAATGTTTTACTTATACTAATAAACAGTGAACTGGCCGTACGCACCTAAGTAGTCAAGGCTGCTAATGAGCAGTAAAATAACGGCTTGTGTTAGCATGTGGCTAACTCCCATCCCTCACCCATCCTGTACCCCGTTGAAGTGGCCTTGAGCTAGACTCTGGATCCCATGTGAAATGGCAGAGTGCAGACTGACCCAGATATTGTTCGGCTGCAGTGTGTGCAGTTTTAGAGGCTTGACTCAGCACTCTGTGAGTCAGGGTCAAAACACACGCACGTGAAGAGGTGGGCTAGACAGTGAAGGACAGAAGACACTGACCTTTTCTCACTGTGTGTGTGTGTGTGTGTGTGTGTGTGTGTGTGTGTGTGTGTGTGTGTGTGTGTGTGTGTGCGTGTGCGTGTGCGTGCGTGTGTGTGTGCGTTAATCCTATATCTATTCTATATCAGTTCTGGAAGCCAGGTGGACCTCTACCGTTATATTCCAAAAGGGCCATTTACAGCCAACAATAAGCAAGACACTATTAAAAGACAGAACTATACAGAGACACCAACTGAAGTTTATGATCTTTATCGTAAAATATAAGCCTGTTTTTGTATTTATCGTGTCATCTAACATATTTGAAACTCAGTTGTTAGAAATAAACCAACAGAACAATTTGCAAAACCATTTTTTATAATAGCCGATCAGACTTACTCAGTAAACAAAGCATTTATTTCATGTTTTCTACTTAGCGTCTGGTGGTTGAGTTGATGGTGAAGAAATGTGTTATTGTTGTTGAAGGACTTGTTGATCGTAAAGCAATGACTCACTGCTGGTTATACTTGAATCATGCTTCAATTCATTGCCTCTGAATCACAGTCCACACCAAGAATAATCCCCCAAATGTGTTTTTCCATTACAAATCTTTGCCTGAGTAGCTTTAAGGGATTTCGTAGCCGACAGGTACAGTTTATGTATTTTTTCCCCTCTTTGGTTCGTACTCAGGAGCATTCATGTCTGACCCTGTCAGCTCTCTGTTAGCGTCCCTCTCACAGTTGCTCTTTTAAAAAGACAGTGCTTGTGTTTTTGTCTAAATGTCAATACGAGATCAGCTCTGTTCTGGAGAGGCAGTGATGCTCTTTGCACACAAACAAACAATCTTACATCCACACACACACGCACGCACGCACGCACACACACACACACACACACACACACACACACACACACACCACACACACACACACCACACACACACACACACACACACACACACACACACACACACACCACACACACACACACACACACACACACACACACACACACACAGAAATCCTGGCCCCAAAGCCTTTCTCATCCAGAACTGCCAGCTTCGTGAGGCAGAACTAATTCACTGTACATTTCTGGAATCCGCCTCTCTTTTCTTCTTCCTCAGCCTCCTCCCAACTATTTTTCTAATTCCCTAATATCCTTATCCCCAACTCCTTTCACTCTGACATTTTGCCTTTTCCCCTCATTCTCCTCTCCTTTTCTGCTCCTCTATCTTCCTCCATTTTACCAAGCTCCTCACACATCCCAAGACTTTCCTCACTTTTCATCTCCTTAAGCATTTCTTCCTCTGCCCTCCTTGCGCTGTTCCCAATTTCCTCTTCCCCTTCCTTCGTGTGTTTGATTGACGTGTCATTCAAGAGCCACCAATACAATACCTCATTTTAGAAGGAAAGAAAACAGTAGTGGTACCAATATTTTAGAATTACATTTGGGTTGCGATTTAAAAGCTTAACCATTTGAATTTGAATTTTCAGTTGAAGGATGCTTTCTTGTCTATTTAAACCTCTGTTCCTCTCTATAAAGCTCCGCACAGCTTTTCTTAAAACAGGAAATGCTCTCTTGGTGGCATCAGCGCAAAAATCAAGCATCTTGTTGTTTTCGCTTTAGGTCTTTTCTTTTTAGTATAGTACAGTACAGTACAGTATAGAATAGTATTATCATACTGGTTTAAGTGGAAGTTCTTGTGGCAATCCAGCACTCACAACAGGAAAGAATGAAACAGAGAGGAATCAATAAAACACAAACACAGATATAGTTGATCAATTATTATTTCGTCCAACAAACGATAATAATGAGGTGTAGTGGCCCCCCTGACCAGAAAGATCTCATGTGCTTTATACATGTAAAACACACATGAACATACACTTGAAACAGCATCCCAGATTTCATGACCTTATTTAGCAGCTACTGTACCACACATGCTAATGTATACAACTGCTGGTGAAGACTTCAGCTGATTGCCTATAGATGGGCCTCCCTCCTGCAAACCAAATGAACAACACACCGTCCACTATAGATCATCTCAACGCGTCTAACATATGAATCTACTGTTGATGATTATAATCTAATCAGCCTCTTTGTACTTCCTCTCATCCCTAATAATTGCGGAGGAGACGAGGAGCTTCTCTAAATCTGGAAACTGTAATTCAATAACATACAGTTATTATATAGTTCTGTTGAGAAGGTCCAAGCCTGACATAACAAAGTGACCCAGTTTAAATACAAGATTTAAAATATTTGCAACAGATGCTGATTTTGCAATTACCAAGGGCTAAACTCCAGTGAAGAATCATTTATCAAATGCAGACACGACCAAAAACTGCACTTCCTCAAATGGCCACTTGAGACTGGGGGAAGCAACAGATTATGTAACAGGATTTCTTAATCAGGATACCCAAAGAATCAGCCTGATATAAAAACATGTTTCTTTTTACTTTCATACCATTACATGCAGGTATTTTATTGAACCTATATACCCAAAATCCGGCTCATACATAAATCCAATTTCAGACTTTTAACAATTGTTCTGTTGGGCTGTATTATAGTTTATACTGTGCATATGATTTATCCATTATGTGCTGGAGAAAACAGGAGAAAACTAGAGCTGAGAGAGGTTCTTATTCTCATCTCTCCCCCAACACCCTCTCATTTAGTCCCCTGTAATCATTCTCTCTTTGTTTTACATGTTTTTTCCCTCCCTACAACACTCCATCTTCTCTCACGTCCTCCCCCACCGCTGCTTATTTTCCCCATCCTCCTCACCCCTCCCCCTTCCATCTAACTCACTCATCTCACCCTGAGACTTTCCCTCTCCTCTCCTTGCTCTAAGCTCTCGGTTAAACTTTCCTCCAGATTTCTTTCCCAAACTTCCTTCTCGAGCATCTGTCTGATCATGTCCCTTTCTTCGCCCTGTGGGATGAGCCAGCAATCTCCCCTACCCATAATGCACCTGTCCAAGTGAGGACTGCCTCCTGCACTTCAAAGTATACACTTCAGCACTTCAAAGGCTGCACGCTCTCTCATACTAAAACCAAGCCTTGATCAATTAAATCCTAATAATACCCAGCAGCACAGACGATGAGGTTCAAATGTAAGGCAAGTTTATTTATATAGCACATTTCAACACAAGGCAATTCAAAGTGCTTTACAAAAATGAAAGACATTAATAGCATTTAAGAAACATATTATGAAATGATATCTAAAAACACTCATTTAAAAGCAATGATATAAAATGGCATTTAAAAACACTCATTTAAAAGCAAAGATACATGAATCACAGTTACAGTGCAGTGTGAGATACACACATCTGAACGAACCCCCCTTTGGAAAATTATAATCTGACCCCATGTCAGTTTTTTCTAGGACTTTTTTGGTATCCTCCGTGAACCAGGATCTTGAAACCAAAACTAATTCCTGTACCCCATGGTACCTTTTTAGTTTTCGCCAAAACTATTCCTCTTTTCTTTAAATGCACATTAGTTAAAGTGGACCTATCATGCTATATTTAAATTATATATTGTAGGACCATACCTATATAAGGTATATTTATACGTTTTTTTTTTTCAAAATACCAAACAGATCATGCATTTTAGCCATGCCTCATTTTGCTCTATTTTGCACTAATGTTTTGGTGGAATCATACAGCAGCCTACATTTGAAACCAAAACAATGAGCTTAAGGAAGCCACATGATGAAAGTTGTCAACGACTCCTGTTACGTTCCCTCCAAAATCTAGGGGTACGAAGGGGAGTAACAAAACACAGAACGACCAGCACGAGAAAAAAGAGGAAACTGATCTCTTTGTTCACACATGAGATTTAATCCAACAATAATGGACAACCAGGTCCCACACAAAGACCCAAGACGACGTGCTGCACCCATGCAGCCAGAGGAGAAAGGGAGAGCGACTGCAGCCTTCCTCAGGTCCTATATGGAGGCCCTGATTGGGGATTGGGAGCACCTGGGAGAGAGGCTGCACCTGGAGACAATCAGGCTGCACCTGGAGAATCAGAGGGAGAGAGAGAAAGACACACACACACCCACACACACACTACGGCACGTAACACCCCCCCCCATAAAACCAAACAAGTGTTTGGCCACAGTTACCAAAAACACTCAGACTATTGGACATGAATCGTGACCCATTGTAATCGTGATCTCACCCACAGTACAGTACATCGGCCACCACCTTATCTGCTCCCCTCTTGTGCTTGATGACGATATTGTAGTCTGGGTGCTGGTCTTTTGACTTTTCCGTAGACTGCTTGGAAGCTGCCACCTGCTGCTTCCAAGCTACACACCCTGCCACTAGATGACCAGGATCAAGACAAAAGAAACATAATCTCTTGGGACCTCGAGTTCTGGTCAAAACACAACCTGCAAACACCCTTCGGATGAGTCTGAGCTAGGTCACCACCTGCAGCACCAGGGACTGAAACGTCTACAACCTCAGCAGTAGGATACACTTTACCCCCGGCTATATCGTTACCCATTATGAAATCCACTCCGTCGACAGGAAACTTGGGCAGCACAGCAACTGGAAAGAAACCAGTAGCCAGTTTAGACTGTACCTGGATCTTGTGAAGAGGTGCAGGCACACAACCCATCCCAATACCTCTTACCACCGCACTTGCCTCACAGGCAGACTCAGCACTCAAGGGCAGGACACTGGCAAGAATGAACGACTGTGAGCCACCACTGTCTCGTAACACCGTGACCTGCCGCTGGTCCTCCACTTTTCCTGACAGAGAGACAAAAGCAGTAGAGATGAACGGTTTCAAACACTCATCAGGCCCTTTGTTAACAGTGGCCCGTCCACTATGACACACTGCTGTAACCAATCCCACCCCTTCTGGGTGCTTGCCAGCCGCTGTCTGCTCTCGCTTCCAACCTGCACAGTCTGCTATCACATGACCTGGGTCATGACAAAAAAAACAAGCTCTGTTTAGCCTGGGATCTAACACTGGAACAGGGAACGTAATTGTCAGGAGCTCTACGATAAGTGTCTCGCTGAGGAGGGTCACGCTGAAAAAAAACGCTCTTGTGTATCAGTGCAAACTCGTCTGCCAGAGTGGCAGCCTGCTGAAGTGTAGTTACTTTCTGCTCATTCAGGTAGACTACCGTACGCTCAGGTACACAGTTTTTAAACTCCTCTAACATCATTAGCTCACACACTGAAGTAATGTCGTCAGCTTTACAAGCTCTACACCACCTGTCAAAGAGGACTTTCTTCTCCCTCGCGAAGTCCACGTAAGTTTGGCCAGAAGTTTTCTTCAGGCCGCGAAACCGCTGCCTGTAGGCCTCAGGCACAAGCTCATATGCCCTGAGAATTGCACCTTTAACATTCTCATACACTAAACTATCCTCGACAGAAAGAGAAGAGCAAGCCTCTTGAGCCTTGCCGACTAGCTTGCACTGTAAAAGAATAGCCCACACGTCTTCTGGCCAGCGCAGAGCAGCAGCAATGCGCTCAAATGCACCAAAATAGATTTCCACTTCTGATTCACGAAACACAGGGACCAAAGAAATATGCCTACTCACGTCGAAGGAGGCAGCAGGACCAGAAGATGTAACGGCAGAATCACCCCCCCCAGCTGCCTGAAGCTCTAACTGACGCATCCGGACAGCAGTGTCTGCCTCCACTTTCCTGATCTCCAGCTCCGACTTCCTGATCTCCAGCTCCCTCCGGACATCAGTGTCTGCCTCCAACTTCTTGATCTCCAGCTCCGACTTCCTGATCTCCAGCTCCCTCCTGACATCAGTGTCTGCCTCCAACTTCCTGATCTCCAGCTCCCTCCTGAGCTGAAAATCCCTATCACGCTCCTCCTTCTCCCACTGTAGACGAGCCATACGCACTTTTACCCTGGCATCTAATTTAGACCCCGTAGGTGAGGACCCTGCCGAAAACGAGTCCAACTGAGGCATGTTGAAAAGTTTTGCCTGTTCCGTAGCATTCTGAACACCTGGAGTAACACCAACGCGGCCTCCACCAGGAGACTCTGCTGCTACAGCCCCGGCCACCGTTCCAGGAGATTCCACTGAAGTAGGCAGACTCAAAACCCCCTGTTCAACTAGTCCAGTTAGCACCGTAGCCTTGAGTTCACTTTTAACAAGAGCAGAGGAGACAGAAACGTGATAATGGTCAGCAACTCACCGCAAATCAACCTTCCTACACCAGTCTAGCTGACCCACAGTAGGACTGGCCACAAACTGCTCCAAAACAAAAGCCATCCTTATCAACGGCGACTTACAATTGTTTTTTTTTTTTTGTTTTTTTTTTAACAAACTTCCCCAGATCCTGCCTACCAAACTTACCTAACTATCTTCTGGAGCGTGCCGGGCTCGAGGCGACTTTAAAGGCAAACATCAGCGGCCGAAACCCTGAAACGCCTGGATTGGGAGCACCTGGGAGAGAGGCTGCACCTGGAGACAATCAGGCTGCACCTGGAGAATCAGAGGGAGAGAGAGAAAGACACACACACACACACCTGAAGTTACCTACTGTAACTCCAGCTTCTATGAGTATTGGCGTAGCCCTCTAAGGCTATCGCTATTGGGTAATCCCCCTGCGCACCCGCGCAGCACTGAAAACACTTGTAGTCCACGCCCGCCCGCAAGGTGGGCCCCACCCACGGGCTCCCTTCCGGTATAAATAGGAAGGGGACCCGACAACCTGCTCCCACACAAAAACCTTTTCTTCAGCTATTCGTGGAGCCAGTGGGGCCCAGAACTTAGAGGGCTACGCCAATACTCATAGAAGCTGGAGTTACAGTAGGTAACTTCAGTTCTATTTCGTATATGGCTTCGCCCTCTAAGGCTATCGCTATTGGGTTAAGGGCGAAGCAAGATGTAGTCTGCGCCTCACTGGGTCGCCCCGGTACAAGAAGCACAACCACACCTGCTCAGATAATAACCCAAGCCTATTGCGCCATGCGAATGGCGCATCACAGTCCCTGGAATATATCATAACATGAATATTTACCATGAGAGGACGAAGGCTGGGAATAATACATACCTGTCCGCTGTGAGAAAGTAGAGACGAAAGTCACACTTTGCCCAGTGACAGAAGGAGGGGGAATAGCAGCTCTCTGTGTGCAGACAGGCAGAAGAGCGCACAGCTGGGTCCCCAACATCACACACTCTGACAAGACATTCCGTACGAAATGTGTCAGGGGAAAAAAAGGGGGATGTCCCTCTCATAAGAGGGAAATACAGGCCACTCTCCGTGTGCCGAGGCAGGAGAGAGGCGCACAGCTGGATCCCTGACGTCACTCACTCTGACAGGACACTCAGCACAGGGTGTGTCAGAGCGGAATGGGACATCCCTCAAATAAAATTGAATAATGAACAGGGAGAAGACCAATATGCAACTGTGCAAATGTCTTCCATTGACATTCCTCCGTGCAAAGCCGTGGAGGAGGAACATTCCTCTGGCTTTGAGGAGGGGGAAAGAAGCCAGCCAGGGTGATCACTCTTGACCTAAAAAAGTTTGTGATGACCCTAGCCTTAGGCATGAAGCCGGTTTAGCATAAACGGCTGTCTTCCCTGGCGATTGAGGTAGGCTGCCATGGCCTGTTGGCTGGGCGAATCAACACATGTTTGATTGTACAGCAACGGGGCGAAGTGCTGGAATACTTCCCAACCCGGAGAACAGCTCCAGCACATTTACCCCTGACGCACGGGGTCGGTGCGTGGGCGAATGAACCACCTCTGGAGACCCCTCCTGTGGGGGAGACCCCGGGGAATCCCCACGTGATCAGCTGACGTCATGCTGAGCAGCTGTATCACGGAGAGGGCTGTCACCACGCTGTGGGATGTGACACGCTGGATAGGGAGCTGTCAGTTCCTCCACTCGCTGCAGCGAGAGCCGCACTCTGTTGCTGAGTTTTATTCCACTCGCAGATAAATGAATGTCTGGGGGGGGAAGAGGACAACTCGAGCGAGCTATGCAGTTTATAAACCAATAGGTTAAAACAGCAGGCTTTCTGCAGCGAATGACCCACCTCTGGAGTCTCCTCCTGTGGGGGAGACCCATGGGGATCTTTGAGCTTTGACAGATGCGATACGAGATGTAACGTCTGTAAAGCGACTTCCTCATGCTGGATCGAACCTCAAACAGCAGGTCGTCCAGAGAAAAAAACCTCATTCTCATCCCTCCTCTCTGTGTAGTGGCTCCAGCCTTCTCTACACAAAATGCGAGGAGCCAGGGAACATCCAAACAGCAGACGATTGTCTGGTCTGATATTCCCTGAAAGAGAAACGCAGGAATTCCCTGTGTTTCGGGATGGTGGATATGGAAGTATATGTATCATCCTTCAGGTGGAAGTGAACCAGTCGTCCTGGTGAACACATTCCAGCACCTGTTTGATCGTCAGCATGGGAATACTGATAGATCAAGGATGGGTCTCACTCCCCCGTTGGAGAGGCTTCTCTGAGATATGCTGTAATGGTCGTCATGACCGTGCTCTGTAGGAGGCATATCTGAACAGAGGAATGCCGCGAGCTATGCAGTTTATAACCCAATAGGTTAAAACAGCAGGCTTCTGCAGCGAATGACCCACCTCTGGAGTCTCCTCCTGTGGGGGAGACCCATGGGGATCACCGCGTGACCAGCTGATGCGAATGCCAAGCAGCTGCGTCACGGAGAGGGCTGTGCGGGTTTTAGACACGCCGGAGGAGATCTCGCTGCAGTTCCTCCACTCGCTGCCGCAAGAGCGCGCTCTGGTGGCTGAGTTTAATTCCACACCCAGATAAATGAATGTCTGAGAGGGAAGAGGGCAGCTTTTCTCCAAATTAATTATGAAACCCAGGCTTTGACAGATGCGATACGAGATGTAACGTCTGTAAAGCGACTTCCTCAGCTGGATCGAACCTAGCAAACAGTAGGTCGTCCAGAGAAAAAACCTCATTCTCATCCCTCCTCTCTGTGTAGTGGCTCCAGCCTTCTCTACACAAAATGCGAGGAGCCAGGGAATATCCAAACAGCAGACGATTGTCTGGTCTGATATTTCCTAAAAAGAGAAACGCAGGAATTTCCTGTGTTTCGGGATGGTGGGTATGGAAGTATATGCATCATCCTTCAGGTGGAATTGAACCAGTCGTCCTGGTGAACACATTCCAGCACCTGTTTGATCGTCAGCATGGGAATACTGACAGATCAAGGATGGATCTCATCCCCCCTGTCTTTTTCGGGACAAAAGAATAGCGGGAGTAATACCCCTGATTTTCTTCCCCTTGAGGAACCCTGGAAATAGCCTCTTTCAACAGGAGTTCCCGCAGCTCTGCTTGGAGCGCAAGACACTGTTCTTGGGATGACAGGAGTGTTTCCTGTATCCCCTTGAACTGTGGGGGGGGTGATCAGCCTGCTCATCTTGAGGCAACCCAAGGTGGATCTGAAGCGAAAGGGCTGTGAGGGAGCCTCCACACGCTGCGTTTCACTCTGGCTCTCATCATGAAGCGTGTAGACGCTCAGGGGATGAATGGAGATGTATGCAGTGTTGACCACATGAGGCGTTATAACGGCGCTCATGGGTTTATTATTACCGTGTGTAGGAGACGTATCTCGGACAGAGGAATGCCGCGAGCTCTGCGGTTTATTAACCGATAGGTTAAAACCAGCAGGCTTCTGCAGCGAGCCCTGCTGCCTACTAATCAACAGATTGGTGGCAGCTTTTCGCAAGACACTGTTCTTGGGATGACAGGAGTGTTTCCTGTATCCCATTGAACTGTGGGGGGGGGGAGGCGAACTGCAGGGTGTACCCTCTGCTGATCAGCCTGCTCATCCATCTGACCATCAGACACACGCGCTGCCACTCTGAAAAATTCTCTGAGAGCGGGCGCACATGGTCGAGATGTGTTGTGGTCGTCTTGGCAACGAGCCACGTCAGAGCCCTTGCCGCCGCTGCCTGTGAGGCAACCCAAGGTGGGCCTGACGCGAAGGGCTGTGAGGGAGCCTCCACACGTTGCGTTTCACTCTGGCTCTCATCATGAGGCGTGTACACGCTCAGGGGATGAATGGAGACAGTGTTAACCACATGAGGTGTTATAACGGCGCTCATGGATTTATTATGACGTGTGTAGGAGACGTATCTCGGACAGAGAAATGCCGCGAACTCTGCCGTTTATTAACCGATAGGTTAAAACCAGCAGGTTTCTGCAGCGAGCCCTGCTGCCTACTAATCAACAGATTGGTGGCAGCTGGCTTAGTTTGGCGAACTCTGCAGTTTATTAATCGATAGATTAAAAAAGTGCAGGTTTTTGCAACGAACCCTGCTGGCTACTAACCGATAGGTTATAGACAGCTGGTTTACACAGAGTGGAGGATATGTTAGAAACACTTGATGATACTGATGACTCAGACCAAAAGTTGAAAAATGCTGCAGCCAGAGGTGTCGCTGGATTTGCGTCACCCACGCGGCGATTCTGGCCTGGGAGACAGCAACAGACGCACACAGTGTGAGCGCCGTGCTGGCAGCCTTGGCGATTTCTTCCGCTTCGTCAGCGGCCAAGGTGGTGGACCGCTCCACCAGCGTCACCACCGAATTGGACAGCAGCGCGATGTTGTTTGCCGCCGCCGACGCCTGAAAGGCACACTGGTGCACCCGGTCGGCCTGGCGGGCAACATACTGGTCCCTGGGGGAGGCCAACGTAGGGCGCCGTCCGGCGATCATGTTGGCCTGCCTTACCCCAAAAAACGCCGTCAGGCCCGGCTCCAGCGAAGGGGTGGCTGGGAATCCCTCGTCTGTAAAACCCTCCACCTTGGTGAGGGGAACAAACGTGGACACCGGGGCCTTGAGAGTCCTCGGGTTCGCCGCCGCCCCCTCCTGGTACCTCCTGATGGCTCCAGGAGGACGAATCGTCCTCCTCGGTCGCAGCAGCGAGAGCGTCCGCTCTACGCTTCCTGTCGGCCGAGGGGAGATAGGCACAGTGCTGGCATGCGATCTGC